ACGCGATTTTAACCATTTTCTTCTCTAAGGATTACGTCAGTCAACAGTAGCTTACAACAAGGAATTTTAATTACTCTTCAAGTTTTCTTTTAATAATCCGTATTAACTCCAAGTACAAAACCTATTACCTATCTAAAATACCCATTTTCTACTTTTAATGTCATACCACGTAATATTCTAATTCAAATATCATATATTATTAAAATTACCTACTACGGTACTGTCAGGTAGAAACTAAATATTTTATTTCAATATTAAAAATTCTTTTAATCCAGCCCCGACTATTCCGCATAATCTGAGAGAGTTAGCACGATTCCGTCTCGCTTGGTTCTCGACCGCCACATCAAAGGCGCCGACACGGACTCTTCCCTGTATTAAGCTGTGGTAGTAGTATTATATATATGGTATAGTATAGAAGTATGTGCGGTATACCCACATACCGGTATACCGAAATATTTGACAGTCCACAGTCCACAGATAACATTTCCACCTCTGTAATCTATGATTTCCACTCCCTTCTATATGTTGACAGTCATTGGACTGTATTTGTATTTGACAGATACAGGAATTACAGCGTTGACGGGCTCACAAGAATCTTCTCGAAGCTAAGGAACATTCGATATAAGCATTTGTGGTGATTCAGAATTGTAATACGAGTGTGAGGGAAACGCCGGTAAAATGGATCAGGTAATGTTGCTTATTTAAAATATCTATATAGTCGTACACTACAGTTTACGATACATTCGTTGTTTCTTTTACAATAAACAAAAAAACCACATTGTTATCGTAGGTAGCCGTTTTAAAAGATAAAGGGAATGCAGCCTTGTCGGAAAATAAAATAGATGAAGCTATCAAATATTATACAGAAGCCATAAATTTGGATTCAAATAATGCCGTTTTATATTCTAATAGATCTGCTGCCTATGCAAAAGGCAATCAGTATGATTTATCTTTACAAGATGCAGAAAAAGCTATCCAAATTAAACCAGACTGGTCAAAGGCCTATTCCAGGAAAGGTACATCATTAGCTTACTTGGGGAGATTAGACGAGGCCATAGAAACATATGAAAAAGGTCTACAAATAGATCCAAACAATTCTCAACTCAGAGATGGATTAGCAGAGGTACGTTTTAATTAATTTTTAATTTGGTAGGAATCAAATGATTAGTAATTTTGTTGCACATTATGTATGTGGTTTAGAGGCTGCATTGTTGAGTAAATATACTGATTATTTATAGGTAAGAGCACAGAAAGCTCAAAAAACACGTTCTTTCCCTAATCCCTTTGCGGGATCAGATGTACTGGCAAAACTTAGAACTGATCCTAGGACTCGAGCTTATTTAGACGATCCCGAATATTTAGCTTTATTAGCCCAACTTCAAGCCAATCCTCAAATGATGGGTAGTAAATTGCAGGATCCACGAGTTTTAACCACTCTAAGTGTTCTCATTGGCATTGATCCAGGAGCAGACGAACCTATGGACACAGAACCAATATATACTCCACCACCTAGGAAGCCTGAACCTAAACCAGAACCAAAAAACGAACCTGAACCGGATTTACCAGAAAATAAAAGATTAGCTCAAGAGGAAAAAGAAAGAGGAAACACCTTTTATAAGAAAAAAGATTTTAATAATGCAATAGTTCACTATACTAAAGCCATCGAACACGATCCCACAGATATAACATATTATAACAATTTAGCTGCCGTATATTTCGAACAGAAGGAATACGATAAATGTATTAAGGAGTGTGAGAAAGCTATAGAAATAGGTAGAGAAAATCGAGCAGACTTCAAATTGATTGCAAAATCGTTTATGAGAATTGGTAACGCTTATAAGAAGATGAAAGATTATAAAAATGCTAAAGTTTATTATGAAAAGTCCATGTCTGAACATAGGACACCGGAAATTAAAACACAGTTATCTGAAGTAGAGAAAGTTATTAAAGAGGAAGAGAAGAAAGCATACATTAATCCTGAAGTGGCCGAAAAAGAAAAGGAGATAGGTAAGATACATTAAACCTGTGTTAATTTTTACATAAAGTTTTAATTATACATTCACTTTCGCATTCACAAATTTTACTGCGGTTTCTTAGTGGATGGAAATATATGTACAAATGAGAAATTCGTAATAGAGCAAGTTAGGGTTTCTGTGTCGGTTATCCGATCAATGTCTGTTCTCGACAGCTTTGTAAAACTTGAGCAGAAATAAGGATGCATGAATAAATATTTCCTTCATGGTTTCCCTGGTTTCAACCATCATTTTCTCTCCACAGTTTTGTTTTATCCATATTTTAATATGAAGTTGTCTAATGCAAACACCTGTAGTCTACTGCAAACACCTGTAGTAGCAGTCAAATAGTCTTGCGGCAGGTGAGGAAAACCATTAAAATTTGCAGTAAACCTTAGAGTAAATATTCAGCTATTAATAAGTTTAGATTTTATAGTCTTATCAATATTAGACTGGGGAATGCAATTTTAATACTACATAATTGTATTGATGATTTTTTCTTCAAATCTAGTGGTTGAGTAATAGACATTAGAAAAATGTTCCTGCTTGGATTTCAATTAGCTACTTAAGAATCGGGCGACCAACAGAAAATTTCTCTCAATTTAATTATTATCAGATCAGAGATCTGTTTTTCATTTTTTGGAAGCAAAATTATACGAGATCCAATTTTCAACCACTATATTCCAATTCCCTGATTTTTTATTAAAATTTTTAAACAGGTTAAAAAATGAACCCATTTCCAACAAGCAGATATTGAATAGGTTTTTACTTTTTTATTTAGCAGGCATTCTTTTTTTTAATCTATAAACATGTTCTTTCGGTTGTAGAATACCTTTCGTAATCTCAAACTGAATTAATAGCAAGTTACAAAAAATAAAAAAATATATATCATTTATGCTTGAATTTTGAAGATATTCATCAAAAAATACTTTTTTCACTTTGTTATCAGTTGATTATATTTTTATTTTAACCTTTAATTCACTTGTAAATGACGATTTTGGATTATAATTACCTAATATATGCATTTGTGGTTAATAAAGTAAAAAATAAACAAAAATTCAAAGTCTGCACTAGAAACACAATCGACATTGAGTAAATATAAAAATAAACAATTATTTCTTTAAAATGTTTACAGTTTAAGTATACAGGGTGGGCCATTAGTGTGAGAAAGTAAAATAACTCCCTTGTTACTCATAATATAGAAAAAAATGTTTATATAAAAGTTATACAGAATCAAGAAACCTAAACTACAAAATTAGGTTGATACATGCAGGGTGATGAGTAAAAACGGGACATGCCAAATATTACATTTTTTAAATGATACACCCTGTATATTTTTAAACATGGATTTGCGATAAAATTCTATATATGGCAATATAAACAGTTTATCATTTTAGTCCGGGGTTGCCAAGTTATGTAGAAAATTCCTTGAATTTTGGAAAAAAACATGACCTCGAAGAAGTTGTATTAACTTTCAACTACTAACACTTGGAGCAAAAATATTTGACAGAGTTATAGGCAAATGTTATGCAAAGACTTCTATATTAACTAATATTGATATTTTATACAGGGCATTTTTTATAATACGATCATTTTTAGAAAGTTTAAACTTGATTTTCTAAAATTTTTCAAATGGAACACCCTGTATTTTATTGTTCTATTTTATTCACATATCGGTCCACTCCAACTTTTATTAAACATGTTTTATATCTAATACTGTTAATTTTTAAGATATAGCAACATTGAAAAAACTTAATTTTTATTATTTTATAAAATACCACAAATAAATATTAACTAATAAAATTAACTCAAAATGGAATGGTAAATTATGAACTGATAAGTTGACACAATGTGATTTTTTCCAAAGCCATTTCGTGCGGCCGAAAATAATAAAAATTAGGTTTTTCCAGAAATGTTGCTATATCTTAAAAACTAACAACTGTAGGTGTAGAACATACTTAATAAAAGTTGAAGTGGACTGATATGTGAACAATAAAATACAGGGTGTTCCATTTGAAAAATTTTAGAAAATCAGGTTTGAACTTTTCTCAAAATGATCATAAAATATCGATATTTACTAATATAGGCATCTTTGCCTAACATTTGCCTATAACTGTCAAATATTTTCGGTCCAAATGTTACTAGTTGAAAGTTAATACAACTTCTTCAAGGTCATGTTTTTTCCAAACTTTGAAGAATTTTCTACATAACTTGGCAACTTCGCATTAAAATGTTACTGTTTATATTGCCGTATATAGAATTTTTTCAGAATTCCATATGTTTAAAAATATACAGGGTGTTAACATTTAACAAATGTAATATTTGGCGTGTCCCTTTTAAATTAATTTTGTCCTTTAAGTTTTTTGATTCTGTACAACTTTTATATAAACTTTGTTTCTATATTATGAATAACAAGGGAGTTATTTTACTTTCTCACACTAATGGCCCATGGTATGTATCACAGTACAGGGTACATTTTTTAATAGGAAATAAAACAGATAAATAATTTTACCAAAAATTACTTATATAAAAGTTGCAAAATAACGAATATATATTAATGTTCAGAAATGTTATAAAATTTAGGTATGATCGTGACCTCCTTTCATTATGATGGTTGTAATTGTTACCCCAGCATGCGTGTATACAAATTTATTGTGAACTTGTATACTATTTCTGTAACAATTGCATTTTTTAATCCATCAAGGAGCAGTGCATGATCCTGCTAATTTTTTTCTAGACATTTGCAAACAGCTTATTGCAAGTAACATAAAAAAAATGTAAACGAATATAAAACACTTGTTAATAAACAGAATTTTTTTTCTCGTAGTTAATAAACTGTGTAATTAAACGTACCAGGAGTATAATAGAAGTAATTATATTGGTAAATTTTCTATATTTGTTATTTTGCAGTTTTATGCAATTTTTGGTAAAAATGTCAATTTTTCTTTCACATCCTGTTTAAAAAATGCCTGGTGTTTTGAGAACACTGTGCAGTAGCAATTAAATAAACTAGAAAAAAATTAGAGTAGTTGTTTAATCTGTTAATCTTATCTCTTAAGAAGCAGGTTATGTAGTAATTGAGATGTTACAATTTTATATACTTCATTAAATGTTTGAAGTTAATGTAATTAATTTAGTTTCTATCAATTTGCTAGATATGTCGCAATGAAACCAAACAAAATGTCCATATTGTAATAGACCCATTTAGTGTGACGTCACATATTTAGGCAACCCACAACAAATTGTCATAGTTGAAATTGTACAGACCAAATCTGACCCTTATGTACTATTTACATAGATACTATAAAAATTAAAAACTATTTCGTAAAATAGATACACTATTGTGCTTAAAACTTTCAAAAAATGATATAAAAGAATATTCCTAAGTTTAAATAAAGTAAAAATGTAACATTAATCGTGTTTTCCCAATCCTCATGCTTGGAAAGAATAGCCTCATATGCAGGTGAGCTCTTGTTTATATGTTATCACTGTCATCATTAGCGTATTTTCTCTTGTTTTGTTTAGTCTTGGCATTTTCTAATTCTACTAAGTATTGTTATTATTTTTCTTGGTGTTGTACTGTGTCAGTGTGTTTATCGAGTGTTTTTTTCTTCAAGTGGTTTATTATAGACGTACTCTTAATCATAACCAAACATTCCTTAAATGATATCCTGTCGAGAGGCTACTTCGCTTACATGAAATTATCTTCAATGTGCATGCTCAGTAACATTGATATAATTTTAATTTATTTATTACTATAAAAGTCAATATTGTTTTATAAATTTAAATATATAAATTCTATAATTCTATTAGTTTGTCACTTATGGTTTGAAACTTCTTAAATATTTCTAATATTGCCAGAATATCACAATATTTAAGGTCTTGACAAAGAAGACATTTTTTTGGCACTTATAGTAGGGGAGCCCACAATGCTAAACGGGGATTTACTTGAGTGTCGTGGGGACCTATTGGATTTTGAAGATTAGGAGGTAGAAAGAAAAAAGGTTATATGATGTAAACCCTTTCATCGGTGGGGGGAGCGTCTACAGGCCTTCAAAAATATAAAAAAAAACAGTCACATGGAAATATTCGAGCACGTCTGGGATCTCAAAAACGGTATGAGATACAAAATGGTGGCAAAGTTGCGTAATCAAGGGACCAACATTATGCCCCTAAAAAATCAAGGCTAACATGATTAGTTTTCGAAATATTTAAAAAAACCCGAAATTTTGAATATCCATTTTTGTTTCATTTCAGCCTTGTTTGAGGTGATATTGATAAAAGAAGAACACTTTCTCATGGCCACTTTTTGTCCTCTATCGAATGGCATAATCAATTTTTATATTTAACGTTTCGTCTCGAGGACCATCATCAACTTAATGTTTTTAAATACGACCCTGAAAATTTTATTACATTTTTTGCAAGCCTTCATGACCCCCAATACTGTACTGCGTCAGCTCGAACCAGATTCAGACGTTTTGTCTTGAAAAATTCATCTTCAGTGTATTCGATCCAAATTTATCTAAATTTTTTATTTAGATTTCTTTGTTTATTGAATTTCGTACACTGTAAGTGTCGTTGCACCCTGTGAAATCCATCTAGTTATTTAAACTATTACCACCACGCGTTACAATTGAACATTTATTATAGGAAAATTTTCCTATACGGCTGTTAGTCTACAAGTTTAATATTAGCAAAAAAATTTTTATTTTTTCCAGGTAATGAGTATTTTAAGAAAGGAGACTATGCCAATGCTGTAAAACACTACACAGAAGCCATAAAACGGAATCCAGACGACGCCAAGTTGTACAGTAACCGTGCTGCCTGTTATACGAAATTAGCTGCCTTCGACTTAGGTTTGAAAGACTGTGATAAGTGTGTGGAACTGGATCCAAAATTCATCAAGGGGTGGATCAGAAAAGGGCATATCCTACAGGGAATGCAGCAGTCTAGTAAAGCTATAACTGCTTTTCAGAAAGCTATGGAAATTGATCCTAACAACGCAGAGGCTCTGCAGGGCTACAGAGCTTGCACAATTGAAAGCGCTAATTTGGATGGTGATCCAGAGAAAATTAGACAACGTGCAATGGCCGATCCAGAAGTACAGACTATACTTAGAGATCCTGCCATGCGTATAATCCTCGAGCAGATGCAGAGCGATCCAAGAGCACTCCAAGACCATCTTAAAAATCCAGACATTGCGGCAAAAATTCAGAAATTACTAGAATCTGGTCTCATCGCCATCCGTTAACTTCTAGCATTTTTATTGTTATAGTTTTATAAATGAATTTTGAAATCAGTCTTTAGGTTGTTTTGTAATAAGTAATCCTTAATTCATTAAACATTTAGATAGCTGTGGTTTCTTTGACTTTTTCTAGCTCGCGGTTTAGATTATAAAATTATTAAAATTATTAATAATAAAGCTTTGTATCCAAAGAATTAGAGTATATTTTGTTACGCTTCAAAACAATTTTTATGTACATTCGACAGTATTTTTGTTAACGAATCTATTGTAAAACAAAGTGTAACAAATAAACTACATAATTCAAAGTTCTCTTGGTCTCGAATCCTCCTACAAAATTTTAAATATCCCTAGAAATACTACTAGTCCAGCTACATTTGAAAACTTTATACCATTCCACAATTGCAAGGATGTTCCATAAATATCTTCCGAAATAGAGAAATTTCTAAACTTGGCGAACTCTAAACTCCAGGGGTCAGTCATGGTCAAACTACATATTTGTATTGGACACGACGGTAGCCGAAACGGTCAAGGCCTGCTGACTGAGGCGGACCAGGCTTGCACGGTAAAATTGTAGTGTAGTCTAGGAGTCGGATAGGGTTCCGTGGCCAATCAGAATGCCACATCTGCAAACAAATTCTTGATGCCCGTACCTATAGTTGGTACTCAATCTCGATCTTGAGAACGACACCCAAGTCATGCTCGGGACTCGAGTACAGCTTAAGATTAAGATGGGAATTTTCTGTTTCTTAAGTTGTTTGGGGACTATCTCGAGAGGACCGGGACCGGGTCATCCGGACGAGAGCAAAAATAGTCAGTTCTTTCTCGTCATCCAATGGTGCCTTGTTGTTAAGTAGAAATACCTAACAACCCCCCACAGTAATTGGGATATCTTTTTTTTACTTAAAATTATTGTATTACATGAAATAAAAATGAAAATAGAGAAAGAACGGAGCTGTGGCATCTAACATATTAAGAAAACAAAAATCAGAAGAGGAATTAGTTAGCTCTTCTAAAATTGCAAATTCTTAAAAAACAAAACAATTTGTCCTAGTAAAAGTTAAAATTTAAATTAGCATTTTATGATACCTCACATTTATTATATTATTTGTAATGCCTAATTAACACAATATTTTTAAATTTATTATTAAAAAATAGTCGACAAATATAAATTTGTATATCTTACTTTATGAAATAATAATAGTCACAAACATAGAAACATTATAAGTACTAAACACAAAATCATGTGAAAACTTTATTAAAACTGTACATTTTAATTTAAAAATGTTGGTTTATGAAGGATGGACGAAACAGGCCAGGTTGATTATTTTCAATATGAATTTCGGTTTTTTTCGGCATTCTTTCCACAACGGCCACATTTTCGTCCACGATAAAATCAATAAATTCCAAAAAATCCAAATTGTCTTCACGATCCATAAATTACACTTAAACTATGTTCGTAATTTCAAAAAATTAACACCAAATTTGTTATGTCAAACTTAACCGAGCACACCTCAAGGTCAGTCTCTACTGGCCTTGAGTATGGGGCGTTGCCAAGGTCGCATGGAATCGTGCTCACTGACGATGTACCGACTATAATATGCAACTGTGTGCTTAAGTCGTAATCAAGTCTGAGTTCGACTCAAGTATCGACTATAAGTATGTGCATAAGTATTTTGACATCCTGAATTCAAAAAACTTGGTCGCAAAGCCTGAAAGTAGTCAGTTTAATAGTTATTAACAAATTAAATGTTTAAATGGCTGTAAAAAATTTATTTTTATAGCTAACAATTTTTTATGTGTTAATAGTTACGTCTTCTCATAAGAAACATATTTTTTTGAAGATTAAAAAAAGATTAACTTTAACCAGTTATTGCAAATTTAGGGTTTTACATTTTCTGTCTCCGCATGCACCAATTTTACCATACCTCTGGTTCTATTGGATGAATTGAGACGCACGACATCTCATTTTAAAGTTTGAACTTTATTTTACAAGATAGCCCAACACTTTATGGATGTAGAGATGAACTAAGAGGAGATCACGTATTCAGAGTTTTGCAAACAAATTTTGTAAGTCGAGTTAAACTGACTTCACATTACATATTTAACATTTGCTTTTTAATGTTTCATAAGGCTAATCTATTTAATTACCTAGATAACGTTGTAAACTAAATTATAAATTCAAATTTCTTATTACTAAAATTCCTAAGGGGGGCGGCGCCCCAAAGCCTCCGCATCAGCTGCCATTGATTAAAAGAATAGCCAAAGTTTAATGTTAACTTTACACACCTGTATTTCTTCTGATAAATGTTAAAATGTGGCAAATAACAACCTTTGGCGGACAATTTTAAAAGGTCCTTTAGACAAATTTAAAAATAGTTGAAAGTATTGTCACGTTTCCTATCTAAAATACTAAAAATAACATAAAAACAATATTATTATCTCGAGCTATACACTTGGCTGCTAATAGGGTAGAAACAGAGAGGCAAATCAATTCACTTTTCCATTTTTATCATACAGGGTGTCCCGAAATTCATGCAACAAAATTTGGTTACAGATTCTTAAGACAAATTTAAGGGACCCGTATTTTTTATTTTTGCCAAGTGGCTCCCTCCTTTCGGAGTTACAGCCCTCTGAAGTCCGCCCCTAAGAGTAATCTTTTTTTTATATCTCAGAACCCTGGTGTACGAAAATCACTAAATTTGGTACACAGGGGTTTTATGACGTGGAATCTGATGGTGCTACGTTTTTTGACGGGGAACCCCCTTAAGACAATTTTTCGTGGGCCCCCTTGTATTTGGAGCCAAAAAAATTTGGTCGCATTTTTAAATTTCTTAAAAATTATCTGTCCACTAGGAAGCCATTAAATTTAGAAACTTTTTGTCTCTATACTTTTTTCGTAAAATGCAATATTTTCGAGAAAAATGTCAAAATGTGGTCGAATGCATATATTGTGATTCGCCATTTTCCTCAAAAACATTGCGTTTTACGAAACAAATATCAAGCGACAAAAAAGTTTCTAAATTCAATGGCTTTCTAACGAACTAATAATAAAAAAAATATATCAAATTTGCAACCAAATTTTTCTGGTTCCAAAGACAAGGGGGCCCAGGAAAAAGTGTCTTAAGGGGGTTTTTCGCCAAAAAGCATAGCACTGTGAGATTCCACGTCATAAAACCCCTGTGTACCAAATTTAGTGATTCTCGTACAACATGGTTTTGATCTAAAAAATACTTCTTAGGGGCAGATTTCAGGGGGCTGTAACTCCGAAAGAGGAGCCCAGTTGGCAAAAAGAAAAAATATGGGTCCCCTAAATTTGTCGTAAGAATCTATGACCAAATTTTATTGCATGAATTTCGGGACACCCTGTATAAAACACATACCTACACCTCTGAGTGGTTACTTTTTTGTGGAGGACAAAATGGTAACCTGGCTCTTGGCCATCGACTGGCTATCAAAGGGTTTAAATATTCTCTAGAAGAATCGGGAACAATGACTGAATCAGTCCGCCAGTTTATAGAGTAAGCGAGATGGACAAGGGTCAGTTCAATATGCATTCAATTTGCAACTGGACACTTCCTTACTTTTAAATCTATTGTGTAATACTGACGTGATTGATTCCAATTATATTTTATAAATTTTGTTCTATGAAATGAGAAATGAATATTTGTACCGGAGGTATTCTTGTAAAAATCTACTAAAGAAAAATGTGTCCAAATAAAGTAATGCCATATGTCCATACATATTTATCTTTCAAAGTTTTGACTATAGCTATAGGGTGATTATTTAAATTGTGAATATTACGCTTTCTCTCTAAAATACTTATAGTTGACAGTATTATAAACCTGCTGTACCTATATGAAAAATATTTAAGGGGAAGTACAATACACAGTTTCTATTTATATTTTAAAAATTATTTTGCATTGTATTTGGATCGTCACAGTACCGTTATTTGGAACAGAAAACACATTAATGCGAGATATGCTACTGTATTACAAATATTGTGGCTAACCAATAAATTTCAAGAGTTGTCAATCATATCTTATGATTTTTCGTGATTATAGACCTCTTTATACTACAGGGCATTACCTAACGAATGTTACATACTTCAAGGGTATAATCTAGAACCCAAATGGTGTCGATTTAACCAAACTTGCATAAACGAAAAATGTAGCAAAAGTTATAAGGTGTTAAAATATCTTTTTTTGTCCTTAACTCAGAACCCATTAAACTATTTGAACAAAATTTGCTGTTGCATAGTTTCTTTTCATAAAGTACACAGTGATTATGTTCCTATTAGGTTAAATCATACAGGGCGTTCATTTTACTACAACCCTTTGTGAATGTTCCTCTGCAACTTTTTTGTACATTAAAATTTTTACACACAGAAATTGGTAGAGATTATGTTCTATACAAAAAATGTATACCTATCAAAAATCGAAATTATGCTCAGTTATGAAGATACATATTACAGAAAATATTTATTAACACATAAGTACCTACCCCATATTTTTTTGAAGTTTAGTGGCTAAATGAAACATAAAATAGTCTTGATTTGTACGAGTTAGTACTAACCTTAAGTGTACTTTGCAGGTAAGTAATCAGTAAATCACAGTTATACACAAAAATCATTTTTATATTTATTAACGATATTCTCAAATTTATATAAAACATTTAATAAATCGAATAATTAAAAGAAAATTAAAATATTAATATTGCAACTTATAATTATTGTAATAAGCAAGACAATGGCAACATACACAAATCACTAATCCAATCATAATTTGGACACATATACAAGGTGTAGACAATAACAAGACATCATCCACTATTAACAAATTTTAACTATTCCCTACAATTAAATGAGATTAAAACGACTAATTACAATTCTATAATTAAAAATAATTACTAAATTAAACTTAAGTAGAATAAGTCAATTAGAAATAATACAATATTTATTATACAATTTTATGTAAAATTTTTAATTATCAATCTTAAATAAAACAATTTTATAGAATATCAATCATCTTTTTAGACAAAATACTTTTCTGCTATATTAGGTAATTTTTTTTTATTATGGACAAAACTTATAAATTTGTAACCATTTACATCATGGAATATATAATACATTTGAAATTTATATTTCTGTTTTGTAAAATTTAAATTGTCAAAAATAAATGTTGGTTGTTCCAAGGCACTGCATTAAAAAAATATAAAAATGCACAGGCACAATATTATTCATTATGAAATACAAAAATCATTAATTACATTTTAATATTTTGACTTTTTATTGGACAACAGTTATTTTTGTAGGATCATGGTGATCACCATGAAATAGTAATTAAGAATTTTTATAATTTTTCTCGCAAAAAATAGAGGCACAAAAGGGTATTGGCAATTTTAATTGGGACCAACATTATGTGTTAAATTTCAAATGACACATCAATTACTAAGAATTAAATTTTGTATCTTATGAATAACTTAAGTATAAAAAAACTGCGGTTGTAACGTTGTAACACATATCAAATTTTTCTTCATTTTCAATAATATTCATGCTGCATTGTCACTGACACAAATATTATTGGAAAAAGACTGGCAAAAAAGTGCCTAACTACTAAAGTAAACCAAGTTGGATCTTGCCGAGTTAACTAATTAAAAGGTCCTTTTCTTAGTGTAGGTATTTCCATTAGGCACATTTTCAATATTTTAGTTTTACAATACACTGCATTTAAATGAGTGCATAACAAGCTTTTAAGAAAAAAAACAAAGAGATCGATCTGATTAGTTTCTCAGACTTGCTGCCAAAATAAATATGTTGCACAATTATTAATCATGAATCTTTGCAACAAATTGTACGTAAAGTACTATTACTTATAACAGGTTATATTCGACCTGCTAGCTTGCAGGATAAATTCAATGATAGTTTAAAATTATGCAATATTTGAATTAAATATTCATTTTCGTTTGGTGTACCGTTATATAAGGAAACGCAAAAAATATTTTCCATACCACTATGTTAATCGAGAAACTAGATTAGTTAACTTACATATATAATCTGCAGCAATTTTAATTTCCAGTTAAAACAATAATTATCAGTTACTCAATAATATCAACTACGGCTATGGAGATCACCTTTAATAATGAACAATTTTCATAATCACCTTTAATTAAAATCTATTTTTTTTAATATTTCCTGTATACATGCAGGTTCATAATGCTCTAATGTTAAAGCCACAATACAGTTATGTAGCGAGTTCATTTTCCCAAGATCTTTTCCTCTACAGCTTGATCATCTGCACAACCGGTTATAAGATTTTATTAAATATGCATGTGACTTTAAAGTATGCTATATAAAAGTAATTATATACAGGTTCAATTTGGAATGAGAAATAATTTTTATAATTACTCACTCGATAAATTAAAAATTTATTTCATTTTATTTACATCTCTAAGTAAATTTAAAATATTTAACTCAATTTGCAGTCTAACAATTAATTGAATTTAATTTTTTTCCCGAATCACAGTCAAGCATTACTCAAAAATATTTAGTACCCAATTTTTTTTTATTTGCTGAACTTTTCACATCTAATCTATCCAAAATTATGCGAAATATTTTTAAATCTTATCATTTTTTATTTGTTTTGTCCAGTATGTATAGCTTATTTAAATTCACTAATATTCAGCAATAAAAAAAAGATGAAGATGTCAACTGTTAAAATAAAGAAAATTAATTAAAATTTTGAACTATTCTAAGTAAATTCCGAGGTAAATTCCTTCATCTGTCTCTACTTCTGTCATCGAGTCCGTCGAGTTTGTTATATTACATACATTTTTATCCATAAGTACTATTTTCTGACGAAATGTTGTGAAATTCTGTTTTGTTAGGTACCTAATACATAATAAATTTAAAATTTTTCTTATATTCACAGATTTTTTATGTACAGGGTGTTGCACTTAAATGTGACAAACCTGTAGCTTTATTTTTTGACCGATTTCAAAAAAATTTAGAATGCAGGATAAATAAATCTCACTGTGATACTGCTGTTTTTATTAATACATGGCCAACAAGGACCCGTTTTTTTATGTCAAAACAGCTAATTGGTTTAGTGATTTTTTTTCAAAAAACATTACGTATTCTCATTCAACATCCCTTAAAATGTCTTATCACCAAGTTTCATCAAATTCAATACATTTGATACACAATTTTTTTAAATCGGCCAAAAAATAAAGTGCGACACCCTGTATATTACATACAGTTTTAATAATGTCCAAATTCAATACTTATTTCACAATGCAGCTTCCAACAAAACAAAACAAAAAATACGAATATACGCAACTACTTAGTTGCACGAAGTATTAAAACTGTCCAACATAATGTTTTAAACATTAATAAAATCAACAATTTTCAATTTTCACTAAACAAAAATTAAAAACGTACCGAGATATTTAAATTTATTACATAAAAATAGAGCAATATTAACCTATAATTGCAATCGTGTCAAAGAAGCCTATAAAATATCTCAATTTATAATCCCTTGTCAAAAATTTCTGACGAAACAAATGAATAGATTTGAAAACCTATGAAAAGTAAAACAATGAATGAAAAACTTACTCTGAATGAACTAAGATACCGAGCTGATAGCATTATGAGGCGCCCCCATTTGTGTCAAAACCTTATCTAACCACTGAAGCGGCCCGTGCAGATGTACTTCTATCCAACAGGGCGTGCTGGTAACATCTTGGCGGTGATATTCGGCTCCCCAACCTTTAACGAAGCTCATTCGAATGGTGCACATTTTTGTAAGTTCGTACACAGCTTCGAAGCCATGATTAACACATTGAGACAACAGTTGTGCAAATTCGGCATTGTTAAATATCCTCAGCGAACAGCCTGCGGGGATTTTGCAGACGGTGGATGGGTGAAAGCCATGGTGGTGGTTGCAATTTCTGGACTGAACGAAAATTGCGGAATCGGACAAACATTCGGCATATACTTCGCCATTTACATAATAGAGATGAACACCTTTTCCAATGTGTCTTCTGGTATTTTCTATAGTAGAATTTCGATTAACATTGCTCAGCTGCCCGAGGCAGAATCGATCGCTGTTGTTACTGGGATTCGTAAACCCATCAACAATAACCGATGTCGAATGACAATGGAAAACTTCTCCCACTCTGCAGTTCAATTCGTAATATGCTATAGAAGCCCAAAACGGTTGTTCTTGATATGGCACCGGTTGGACGTCAGCGCTTAAAGCCGGTTCAGGGCTGGGATTGTTATTTGTATTTGAATTACTTTCATCTGTAGGACTGTAGGCGGGTGGTGGTGTCTCTGCGAGATTTGCATAGGGTGATTGGGGATTATTTGTCGTAACGCTTCCTGGACTTGAGACACTTGACAGTGGTGAACTCGGACTTAGATGGTTGGAATTAAATCCGTTTGACGAGTAACTCACATTATGAGGCATATTTGGCTCAACTAACTGTTGAAATGGAAGTAACGAATGGCCTGGTACAAAATCGTTATGTCTAGGTACTAAAACAGGTGGCAAAACTGGACTTTCGACCCGCTTATAATGATAAGGGTTTATACAAACTTCTTTTTGTTTTGCAGAAAAAGGAAACTGGCAATGCTCCAAAGGTTTCAACTCATGATGGCTTTGTAAATCAGGCCAGCGCCAAACACGGCAATATATTACATGTGGTAAACCTTTTCGATGTGATACCTGTAGCCTTCCATCTAAACTTCGTGGAATGGTTACACATTTGCTTGGAGTTCCTGGACATGAAAGCGCTCTTTCTAATTCCTCTATTGCACCTTTTCTTTTTTTCAATTTCTTAACTAAACTGTCTACAGCTTTTTCTGCCCACTTCTCCTCTTCATCACCTTGTTTCCAGCCTAATAACTTTTTCACAGCTGGACTTGTAAATGAAAATAAACTATTTAATGTAGATATTGGACCACTACTTGAAGATTCCCCTTCGTCAGTATCCATACCGAAACTAAAACAAATTCACACATTTGCAATATGCAATTTAAGACCTCGTTACATTAGTAACTTGATTAACGCAAACAAAATTGATGGCCTACTTTAATGTTTACCAACAAAACGATTACTTAATATTTAATTATTTCACGATTCTTTAAATAATGTAATTAAATATTTTAATTATAACTTTATTATTTATTTAATGAAAAGGCAAATGACTCACAAATTATTAAAATGAGTCACATAGTATTGATAATCTGTAGCCATGTTATATATTGCCAGAACACTACAAACTCTCTACAAACAGATTCATTACAGTTCACTTAATGCACACATACTAACTGTATATTTCCTAGTACTCGCTATTTATCAAGAGCAACATTTTTTTTCATGATCAACAAAAATAAAGCAGACATGACAGACAGCATTTGACAATTTAACAATCCAAAGGAGGCTTGCCCTTTTATTGTAGTTTTACTCAATTATTGGCATACCTTAGTTAGGACCCAAATATGTAATTATGTTTATTTTCAAACTTGATTAAAGTTTTGCTGTAAATTAATTAAACAAATGTAAAAAATCACACCATAACACAAACGACTTTATGACGCCTGGTCAACTACCTCCCATAAGTTGACGTTTACACTCAATGAGGGCGCTGCATTTGTTCTTAAAAATATATGGCGGGAATTTTAATTTAAATGAAAATCTTGTATTCAAGGATAAAAGGAACAGTTTTAACGAATTTGTGCTAATATAATTTCAGTATAATTAGAATGTCTTAGGAGGATATTAAAACGTATCAAATAAACATTTTTTGATCCTTTCCAAACAACTGACAGTCCAAAGAATTTACAGAATATGAGATTTATTTTTCATCGAAATTTGCACAAATCTAGAAAAACTAGATCTTTATCATATATCCAACAATAACCTGAATCTGATTATTTATTTTTTATGTTTTTTATATTGCTGCTTTCATTATGCAAATTCTGTAGTCGATGTCGCAAAATAAAAATTGATATATTACCAGCCAGTCATTTTATAAAACTCATGCCTTTACCATTTTATACAGGATGTACCGGCGTTTAAAAAATGAAGGAGCGATTTCCTCATCCAAATTTAAGAATATTCTCTTGTTCTTGCCGATGTTTTTGAATTATTTAAAACATATACAGGATGGGCCATTAGTGTGACAGAACAAAAGTTTGTATAAAAGTTGTACAGAATCAAAAAATCTATAGGTCAAAATTAATTTGAAACGTACAAGGCGATGAGTAAGAACGGGACACGCCAAATATTACATATTTTAAATTGAACACCCTGTATATTTTTGAAGATATGAATTTCTAAGAAAATTCTATATGTATATTACATACATACATATGGTTTAACATTTTAGTGCGGGGTTGCCAAGTTATGTAGAAAATTCTTCGAATTTTGGAAAAAACATGACTTCGAAGAAGTTGCATTAACATTCAATTACTAACACTTGGAGCAAAAGTATTTGACAGAGTTAAAGGCAAATGTTAGGCAAAGACTCCTATATTAGCTAATATCGATATTTTATACAGGGCATTTTTTATAATACGATCATTTTAAGAAAATTCAAACTTGATTTTCTAAAATTTTTCAAACGGAACACCCTGTATTTTATTGTTCTATTTTATTCACATATCAGTCCTCTTCAACTTTTATTAAGTATGTTCTACACCTAAAGTTGTTAGATATAACAACATTTCTGGAAAAACCTAATTTTTATTGTCAGTCGCACGAAATGGCTTTGAAAAAAACTGTCACGTTGTGTCAACTTGTCAGTTGTCTATCATTCCATTTTGAGTTAATTTTATTAGTTAATATTTATTTGTGGAATTCTATAAAATAATAATTTGTGGGATCTACGGTTTTTCAACACTGTAGAGAAAAAAAAAATCGTTTGACCCTCGTGGCCTCTGAATTTTTCTGTTTCCTCGATACGTATGATTCCTTAGGGCAAAAGTAAATCTCAGTATAAATTTCAATCTGTAACAGCCCCATTTGTGGGATCTACGGTTTTTTCAACCCTGAAGAGAAAAAAATCGTTTTACCCTCTCGTAGCCTCTGAATTTTTCCGTTTCCTCGATATGTATGATTCCTTAGGGCATAAGTAAATCTCAGTATAAATTCCAATCTGTAACAGTCCCATTTGTGGGATCTACGGTTTTTTCAACCCTGAAGAGAAAAAATATCGTTTTACCCTCTTGTAGCCTCTGAATGTTTCCGTTTCCTCGATATGTATGATTCCTTAAGTAAATCTCAGTATAAATTTCAATGTGTAACAGCCGGATTTGTGGGATCTTGAATCTGTTAACATTTGTAGAATCTTAAATTTGTTTGTGAAATAACGTGATAAGTTAAAAAAGTAATAACTTTTAAAAATTTACTTTTTTTATTTTTTATAACATGTAATAATTTAACTTGTGAAGACTTAAAGCAAAATAATATTAAAAACTTTAGGTCATTTTCAATAATGAACTGGTCCGCTGTAAAAATTCGTTTCCCGAATCTGAATCCGTGTCTGTCTTCAGCCATATAAATAATTTTGTATTTTTTTGGTGTATGATCTTTACACACTGCTAATTTGTATGAACACGGTGAAAGCTATTCAAAAAAAGTCAAAAAATTGTTATTAATAANTTTTATTTTTTATAACATGTAATAATTTAACTTGTGAAGACTTAAAGCAAAATAATATTAAAAACTTTAGGTCATTTTCAATAATGAACTGGTCCGCTGTAAAAATTCGTTTCCCGAATCTGAATCCGTGTCTGTCTTCAGCCATATAAATAATTTTGTATTTTTTTGGTGTATGATCTTTACACACTGCTAATTTGTATGAACACGGTGAAAGCTATTCAAAAAAAGTCAAAAAATTGTTATTAATAAAAATTTCCTGTACACATCCATGCACATACATACCATCATTGAGACCATATTTCTACATCAAATATCGAGTGACATGGGCGTAGCTAGGATATCGCTAGGGGTAGGCCCAGTGCTGCAAGCTCTATGGACGTTTCTAAAAAAAAAACAAACAAACAATCGCACGCACTTCAAAATCAAAACACTTTTTCGTTTAATTATAAAAAAAAGGTCACGCAATAAGCGACCTATCGATATAAAATTTCAATACATTTTTTGAATCTTGCAGCATGCAGCAATAATTAGGGGAGGGGAGGCTACGCCCATGTCGAATGGCATTATATTCTTGTATTATACACACGAAGTGTCAATAATAATTTATTTAGATACCTACTTCTTTTTTTCGGAAATTTAAATGGCAATATCCAGAATCAATTTTTTTTTTGCAGCCTAGATAGAAGTTAGAAGGTTATTAGTTTAATAAAAAATCGGAATCGGAATTCGTTGCATAGTTTTTATTTAAAAATAAGTAGTCAAAATAATGAAAATGTGTGTTATCAATTCAAAGCAATAATATTTTAATTTATCTTTAAATTATTTACCTTTGTCAAGATATGCGTGTGTCTAGATAAAAATAAGTCTTTAATTGCTTATCTAAATATATGTCTGTACGAACTAAGGAAATAATTAGGAGTTCTCAGATCTCAGGTATTTGAACTTCGTTAAAAGAAAAAAAAAACATTGATTACGGATAATAGGAATTTACTTTATTTTTTACGTGTCCCGTTATACATTATTGAATATTTTCCGCAATGGATTCCCCTGTTCAGGCTGAAAACAATAAAACAGGAGCGCGCAAACTCGTCCCCATTCGCTCTACTATCGCTGTCGACGCGGGCACAAGAAATTTGGTAATAGTGGTATTGATCGTGTGAAATGAGTATCGAAGTAAATAGTTCTAATTCCTGGCAAATTTAATAGTGTAGACCAACATGTCAAAGGTAAGTAATTTTCTACATATCCATATTTTGTTGCAGTTTTCATTCAAGTTACCCTCGGATCCAATGACAAATGCCGATGCACACAAACTAATATTCCTTTGCCCGCAGTATCAATCGGTTTTGTATCACGATAAAAAAACCGGTTGTTTTTGTTTAATTGAAAGCTTTACAGTTGACTGAGTACTCTATTCTATTATTATTTAGATGCACAACGGTAAAATGGGCTGAAAGGAAGGCATAATAGTGTTTATCGCTAGAGTAAAAATCGGAAATCTGCGAATTTGTACGTTAGTGTTAGGATATTATAATTATTGGAACCACATTTCTTTGAACCGAGGCGAATTTCTGAAATTACGTACACGTTACATTGTGTTGCATAAAAATTTATACACTATGATATACATTGCCTATCTAAGCAACAAAAAGGTAGGTCACCACGTAGAAACTATGGGATTGATTAGGAATTGGAATGATTTACTTTGAGTTTGAGTACTACATACGTACAGCTGTGGACAATAGAAACCTTACGGTTTATGATGAATATTATGAAATTTTAACTATTTAAATCAGATTTTAAGCAATATTACGTTTTATATTGAGGACAACTAATAAAATATCTTCCGTAGTTGTAGACCTGTAAATGTTTAATGTAATTTAGAACCTGACATTTCCTACATTTAATTTTTTTAGTTGTCAAGATATTTTATTATAAGTTTTACTGTTAATGGTTAGTAAGTATTTGTTGAAAAATAGCATTAAATATAGCATTAAGTAATTGTTTACAATTATATAAAAAAACATTTATAATATAATTTACATAAGATTGAGGTTCTCTAATTTCCAGAGATATAGATCAAGATCGTCACTTGAAAATTATAATTTTAATCATAGTTTATTCAATAATTTAATAAAAGTGTTTATATTGAATAGAGATCGGGTGACTTGTCATAAGAAGTTTAACTAAATCCCTTAAAAACAGCCAATCAGATGTTTCTGTACCTGAGCTTTTCGAGAAATATGCCTTTGCCTTATATCATGACTTCTCACCATTGAATTCAATGCCTCAATTGGATATGAAAAATTATTAGTTTTCAAATTTGTAGGAGTTAACACTAATAATAAATGTGCTATATAGGTATATGTTTAGTTTACATGTATGTATAGTAATTTATGTATGAAGTTGAAATCACAGGAAGTACTGAGAACCGGACGGTAGAAGAGTTGTATAACCAGTCGATTAACATACTAAAAAAACCAAAACCAAGTAAATTTTGGAAATATTTTAAAAATAATTTAAAAATTTCAATATGTATTCGATTTGGCAGTACATAATTGCAAAATGATTACTCTAAAAATTGATCTGAAAAATATATTTTTTCAATTATTATTAGAGATTAGAAAAAAGTTGAGAATATAAGTTGTATAGATATGTTAGATAATCGTATTTCCGATATATAGGAAAAACTTATGGTTTTTTTTTAATGGAACATCCTTCAAATCTTGATACCATTGAAGTCATAAGAGCTTTTCTAAAATGATTGAATTATTTGTGATATACATATATCGCTAACGGTTTTTGAGATATTTAGTATTTTAATATAGTTTTTATTTTACATAATAGCTTTGAAGAACATTGACAATTAAAAATAATTATTTTCGTAAAATGAAGTAAAATGTTTGACAATTGACTTAAAATATATAAAAATGCAGCCAGAAATAATTTCATTTTTATTTCATCTACCTACTAAATAAAATAAAAAATTAAAAAACAATTTTTAGCGAGACAAGTGTATATATTATTATAATCCTGTAGAAGTTTCTCTTCTATAAATACAAAATGGAAAAAAACACCATTAAAAACGAATATACATAAGTATAACAGTATTAAATGAAGATGAACTCTAAAATAAGTGTTCATTCCTTAAAAATACAAACTTAATTAAAAAAGGTTAGTTTATTTAATATTTTATAATTTTTTTCTGTATCTACAGAAAAACCATTTTTTTCACAAGATACCGCGTTATACTGGTTCTTAGGGTGATGTTTCATAATAATAAATACTTAAATATAATATACTTAATATATAATACTTACATATTATATAATATACTTAATATATCCTTCAAAACCCTTCTGATGGCCTTTTCAAAAAATTCAGTAAAGCTAAAGGTGAAATGATCAAAAATCTGTTTGTCACAAAAGGCGACAAATATTTACTTTGATGTTCTTTTTCAATATCTTGAATAGGAGCAGCATATATATTTTTAATCTAACAAGTTAGTCATGAATTTATTGCAATTGATCAAATTAAAAAAATAAATTATTCATATTATTTTTGTAAATTAATAAAACATATTTAATTTCAACATGGCACAAAAACTGCTATTATTAAAATATATATGAAATATTTATAAACACAGCAAAAGAGGACGAGTATTGGAAACAGGCTGATTACGAAGTCAAGGGATCTCGTGCGACAAAGTCATACAAATATTTGTTGTTACTTCATCAGTTGCGTAACTTGAATCTATCTAAAAAGCGAACTTTTTTTTCTAAAATTTGTGTAAGAACCTGCCTACAGTATAACCAAAAAGTAATATGTTTGGGACATCGCAACCGTTATGTTTATTTAAAAATATATTTCCCTAAATTGCGAAACTTTACTAGTTTTACTCAAAAACTATGTTTCAATTCGCTTTATAATCCTGCTTCATTTTAGGACTATGTATGCCACTGCAATGGCTAAAAATAAGGGATGACAGATGTAGATATTTCAAAATATTCGTCTTTTCAGCTCTCAATTTACAGTCTCTATCATAAATAACACGAAAATTATAGATATAAAATGAATTTTATTTTATATTGATCCGACCTACCTACACAGAAAAAGTTCTACATCATGTACAGGATATCCATCACATTGATTAACTGATTTCAAACTTATGATCTCGTTTCCTTATTGCTTGGATACCGCAAATAGGTGCCCTGCCCTTTCAACTTTGCAGGTTTGCAAATTAGAAAACCCGAATGTTTCTTTAAGGTGCAGTTTTATTAAATTCTGCATCCAATTTATTCTCCCTGCTTTAATGTGTGTCTAAGGAATTTTAAGAACTACCCAAAATCAATCACCCTATGCTAGCTGCCCCCCCCCCCCTTCCCAAAAAAAGATGCAGTACTTTTAATTCTAATTCTTTGTTATATCCTTTCGAGTTTATTAATTTTAAATGTTCATGTACTGTATTCAAAGTCATTCATTTATTTCAATAAATTTATTTTATTTATTTATTTATTAACCTTTCTTAGTACTTCAAGCAATCAAATTTTGCAACTGCCCTTTTTAACTTTTAGAACTAACTTTTTTTTTAAGAACTGCATTTTCGGTTAGAACTAACCCTTAGATTATGCGCTGGTCTAATCTAATCCATGTATAAAGTTTTTATGCGCTAAAACATTTGTTATACCCATAAAAAACCTGTTACCGATTATTTTTTTAAATACAGCACGTTCAGTTTATTACATCTACAAAGGTTCTACGTATCGCACAATGTATTTAATAATAGAGTCAGTTGTGTCCTTAATGTTTAATAATAAAACGTTTCACGGGTGACTAAATTGTTGTAATGTTATAACATTAACAATAAATATCATTCGGAAGAAAATTTTCAAACAGGCAACCGAGCAGTGACCCAAATTTGCGGAGATATATAAATAGTAAATGCGAATTAGGTAACACTAGGAAAAGATACTTACATCAAAACAAAATTATATTTAGTTTGTCACACTATTTTTATTTGCCTATCTGTGCGTATTCCATTCTCAAAAAATTCTATTGAAAAAATTATTTGTTTTTGAAATAATTACTTTTATTATAACAGACTTACAATCCTCTGTACTAACATATATTTGAATTCATTTCTATACAGGGTGTTCTACAAGTTCTATGATAAACTTTGACAGATGGCAGCTGGGTTAATTTCAAACAATTCCTCTTATATGAACATAGGTCCAATTCGTTTTTGTTTAAAAATTACAAGTATTTTAAATATATTTCATATTTCAGTCAAAGTAACCTGATAAATAAAAATGATGGTTGTTATAACAATAATTATTATTTGTGTCATTTTGTTTATTCATTTCACACTTAGCGTTAAAGTGCTAAATAAAAAATGCATTTATTTACAACTGAAGAGTATGCAGATATTGCTTGTCCACCATGTTGAAATCACTACCCGTCAGCAGTTACTTGAAAGAATTCAGGATGCAGCTAACCCCACAAAAAATTATCCAAATCTCATCCGTCGAGTGACGAAATCTTTAGTTCGCCGATGTGAGGCGATGTGACTCGAGCCGAAGTGGACATTTTGAACAATTTTTTTAGTCTTAAGCTTTGTTAATTTGGTTATTAAAGGTTAACTAATGTTAACTAGCTTTTATTTATCAGGCTACTTTGATTGAAATACGAAATTATATTTTTTAAGAAAAAATGTTTCAAATTAACACATCTCCCATCTGTCAAAGTTTGTCATAGAGCTTGTAGAAGATTTTATTGCCTATGATTTGTCAATTATCTACGAGGCGTACTGTTAAGTAGTGTTTTTCATTTCAGAAAGTATTGACAGTTTTTCNAAACAATTCCTCTTATATGAACATAGGTCCAATTCGTTTTTGTTTAAAAATTACAAGTATTTTAAATATATTTCATATTTCAGTCAAAGTAACCTGATAAATAAAAATGATGGTTGTTATAACAATAATTATTATTTGTGTCATTTTGTTTATTCATTTGACACTTAGCGTTAAAGTGCTAAATAAAAAATACAATTATTTACAACTGAAGAGTATGCAGATATTGTCTTTGTATATGGGTATTCCAATGGGAACAAGCAGCTTGAGAATACCGATGAAGATACCCAAATAGACATCAACCTGCCCACACAGTCTTTAGTGTATTATTTCGCAGACTTCGAAAAGTAGATAACCTATTCATTCTACTGAAGTAA